GCAGGGTGGGGGGCCAGGCCCAGCAGTTCAGGCCAGAGAAAGGCAGCCACAGGTGAGAAGTCATGCGGGGCAGGGGAGATCAGGAGGAGCAGAGATGGAGGCGGAAGAGCCATGAGGGTGCAGAAAGGGGAAGCTTCCTTCCCACAGAGGAGGAGAGAGGAGTGACCACTAGGGCAGAGACACTCACGGGTTGTGAGAAAAAAGGAGAGTACAATAGACCCTGACCTTCCTCATCAGTGGCAAATCCACACGCTCATTGCACTGCCCATTCGCCACCAATCACCAGCCCCCAGACACCACCCGTGCACACATCACATCCTACCGAAGGCAGTGGGGAGGAAGTCTGGGCTGTTTGCTTTTCAAACAGCATCATAGGGACCACGGCTAGGACCTCAAGACACAGCAGAGGGCCTATGCCCAAGCCACGCTGACCCACTCAACACAGACCACTTAGGCCTAGTGGGTACTGAGTAGGCCGAAGGTAATGAGCCAGAGCTTCTGCCCTGGAAGGGTCATGTCCAGAGGGGAAGAGGCACAGAAGTAGCAGGAACCCACTGCCTAACCCCCACTACATTCACTCCACGGGAGCAGGAAGACTGGCTGCAGGTGGCCGCAAGGGGCAGCCTGTGACCTGGGCCCCACCTATCTTCTGCTCCACTCTGCTTGCCTCCCCTTAGGCAGGCTGGGTAGAATGTGAAACCAGGTCCTGGCCATAAATATCTCCACATGGGCAGGCACCCCATGCCTACCGTGCCCCAGGAAGAAAGGCTGAGGAAGAGGGGAAGTGCCCTTCTGGCATAGTCCAAAGCCTTTCCCAATTGCCTGTAACGATCACAGGGGTACCAACCTCCTTGGGAGGGGAATTATTCTAGGGAAAATGAGACTGAGGGCAGGCGTTTTTGTTTTGTGGTTGGGCTGGATGGGCTTCAGGGATACTGAGGCTCCTTGACATTATACGCAAAACTACATCAATGGGCTTTTTTTTTTTCCTGTTAGAGTCTATGGCTGTCATCAAATTCTCAAAGGGATCCATGAACCAAAGGGGTCTAAGAACAACTAGTCTAGGGAAAAGGTCCTGGCATCCCCTTAGGATTGAGTGGGGTGGGAGTAGGAGATGAAGACAACGGAGAAGAAAGGGTCTTCTTCAGGATGCATGAGGTAAAGAAGCTAATGAGAAAAACAGGTTAGAAAGACACACCAAGAAGGTGAACTTAAACAGCAGTGATAGCCCTACTGTGAATCCTGAGATCTGGATTTGATAAAGTTTGGGTATAGAGAGGAAAGACTTCAGGTCAGAAATCCTGGGCTCTCATTTAGCCTTCACCATTTTCCAGAACAATCTCACTTGACCTCTCTGACTCTCACCTGTAAAAAGGGGTTTAATAACTTCCATCACTCCTTTTTCTTCCAGGCTTACTCTGAGCATCAAATGAGAAACTGAAACAAAACTCCTCCATATCTGGCATGTAACCCCAGGCAAGGCACTTTCTCTGGGCCTCAGTTTCCCCATCTGTTAACTGGGTACATCTTCTGCCTGCTGCCTGCAATCCAGGCACTCATCAAGTTTAAATGATATTCAAAATATGAAAGCTATTTAGAGTTGGCCAATTAGCTCAGTTGGCTAGAACCCATCCTCGTAACACCAAGGTCAGGGGTTCAAATCCCCTTACCAGCCAGCTGTCAAAAAAAATAATAATTTTATATATATATATATGAAAGTTATTTTAATTGTATGTAAAGTGTATGTACAAAGAACTATTTTTAGAACCCATCCTCGTAACACCAAGGTCAGGGGTTCAAATCCCCTTACCAGCCAGCTGTCAAAAATAATAATAATTTTATATATATATATATATATGAAAGTTATTTTAATTGTATGTAAAGTGTATGTACAAAGAACTATTTTTGTTTTTACAAGTAGATGTTCATCAGCCTAACCACACCTAACCCAAACCTCTCAACTGGTTGATCTTTTTAGTCTGTTTCCACCGTCTCCCCCAAGGAGAAGTGCTCAAATAACAGGAAAAGAGTCCACATGAATGAGTTAGTAAAAATAAATTTAACACTAAGTGGAGCCCGTCTGAGGGATGCCTTGGGAATCACAACACATTGAACCCTGTCTCTGCTAGTGCCCTGTTCTCTGACTCCAGTCTTGGTCTGAAAGAACTGATCCCTAGGGCAGGTCTAAGAGGGTTTATGAGGCCACCAAGTGGCAGCTGGATCTGTTCATCAATCAGTGTTGTTCACGCAAGAAAGTGTGGACTATAGAGACTCAGAATTCAGCAGATACTTTCCTTGCCAGGGCTGAAACCAGACAGAATTGTTCACTTCTTAACAAACTTAACAAATTCATTCATCTTTCTTCCTCCTCCCCAGCCCAATTCCTGAAGCATTCTGGGGTTTCATGCAGTTTGGGGACTGATTCCTAAGAAGGGATGGTAAGAGGATCTCCAGTGGGTCCAGAGAACTGTATTCTCCAGGGTTTGCTCTGGGAAAGGAATCACTTCTTTACAAAACATCCCTTACCTGAAAACACTGAGATAATCAATTAACATTTTATAAAGTTTAATAAAATTATAATTCCCTTTACAGAGTGCAAATGCTTTCACTTCCATTACCCTGCTTGACATTCACACTGAACCCATGAAACAGGCAATGCAGGTATATTATCAGCCAATTTTGGTAGATGAGGAAAGTGGCTTCAGAAGCCCCAGGTCATGCGGTCAATTTTTTTTTAAAGATGACCGGTAAGGGGACCTTAACCCTTGACTTGGTGTTGTCAGCACCACGCTCTCCCAAATGAGATAACTGGCCATCCCTATATAGGGATCCAAACCTGTGGCCTTGGTGTCATCAGCACCACATTCCCCCAAGTAAGCCACGGACTGGCCCTCATGTGGTCAATTTTTAACCAAACTGAAACTGGAAGGAAGGTCTGTTGGGTCCTAATTCTAGGATGGTATTACCCAGGTGCTGAGGGAGTACCACATGGGTTGATCTTGCCTCCCTTCTGTCCCCAAAGTCACAGGTTGGCTATACAGTGAAGCTCTGTAAAAAAGATCTAAATGGCCAGCTCCTGACTGGTCCTCAATGGCCTGGCCTGAGTGGGGCGGGTAGTAGCTAAGTCCTAGGAGCAGCGGCTGGAAGAACAGAGTCTGCAGCTCTGCTGGAGGGTGGTTCTGGGACCACCCTATGGCTCCATTTGAATACCAGGATGACTGGAAGTGGCCACACGAGGTCTTAGATTAGGGAGGTTCAGCATAGCGTTGGCTGTGGGCACTAGTCTATATGGGTGCAGGAAAACAGGGACCTACAAAAGTGTCAAGAAGGCCTGACATGGCCTCAGAGGTAGAGCCCCCTGGAGAGGTGGGGGAGCCACTCAGATTGAGGGACCCACTATCACACTTCCCTCCTCACCAGCCAGCCACGCCGACCTGGGAGGCTGGACAGGTCAGGCAGCTGCCCCAAGCAATGCCAGCCCCACAGAAGCAGACACGTCCATCTACAGGGTCCCCAGCCTGGTGATCAATCACCTTGCATTATTAATAGGCGATGACTAACCGGCTGCTGCCGCAGAGCCAGAACTGGGCAGGCATGAGGGAATCCCAGGGGATTGTGCACAGCAGGGCCTGCAGGCACACACTCCCAGGCAAGGTGAGGAGAGGCAAGGAGCAAAGGGCCAGCTCCTTCCCTGTTCCTGCCCATCACAGCACCTAGACTGAAGGGCCAGCCCCCACAGCCCACATTTATACAGTCCTCGCCAGGCTCAAAACCCCACACAGTCACGCAGCGCCCAGATCACACCAGCATCTACCCATGTAGAGTTCCCAGCAGTCTCACAAACACACAGTACAGTTTCCCACTAACACCCCCTAAATGTCACTCCAACATTTACACACAGTCACACCTACACACCACACACACCAGCTGCATCTATACAGACACCCACACCAACACGCACCGGGACTGAGCCCAACCCAAACAGAGGAGCTTGGCGACAAGGACAACCAACACTACCCAACTCCACCCCTGCCTCGCCTCCTCCTCTCACTCCCCTCCACAGGGAAGGAAACCAGCCTCTGTCAAAAGCTGTGCAAGAGAGGCAAGGGGCATAGAGGGGAGGGGATGAGGGAAGGAAGACAGTGTGAAACACAGTGTTAGTCAGAGCAACAGAGCAGCTGGGGGGACACTGGCACTATCCCTGGTTGGGGAAAAGACCACTCATGCCATGCAAAATGTGGGGGAAATGGATCAGGAACCCTCAAGGCTGAGAAGTCAGGGAGGGGATGTCACCTTTCCCCTGGCAGCCAGCATGGGACAGCCCCAAAACTGGTATGAACTGGTGATTTGAATGAGATCTGGACTGGTCTCAGGCAGCTCTGCATCCCGAAGGCCATCCCTGCACAAACTGCCCCAGCTGGCTGCCACCGGAGGTCTCACCCCCAGCCCCCGCCCCCAACTTGAGGGGCCCCATCCGGGGAGCTGACAGTGAGCAGAGCATAGCATGTCATGGGATGGTGTTTTCCATGGATTTTCAGGAGACCAAGAAACTAAATCAAAGAGAAAAAACAAGGGAGAGGGGGAAAAGAACAAACTAAAGCAATAGAAATGAGCGGCCTGGCATCGGGGCTGGTCTAACCAGAGCCGATGAACGGTGAGGCCTCCCCCAGGTCTCTCTGGCCAGGAGTCTGAATTCAGGAGTGAGAGATTAGGGCAAGGGACAAGCCAAATTCCTTAATTTTCATGTGTCTTTTGGGTTTGACTTTGGACCAAAAAAGAAAGAAAAGAGAAAGAGGAAAACTAAAAGAAAGAGAAGCAAAATCTAAAGATTGTCCAGGACGCAAAAAAAAAAAAAAAAAAAAAAAAAAATTTTCATGTGTCTTTTGGGTTTGACTTTGGACCAAAAAAGAAAGAAAAGAGAAAGAGGAAAACTAAAAGAAAGAGAAGCAAAATCTAAAGATTGTCCAGGACGCAAAAAAAAAAAAAAAAAAAACAATTGGAAGAGCAAATCAACCAAAACCAAACAGGGAGAGGAAACAAAAGAGGGAGAATCGAACAGTTAAAAAAACCCACGGCAAACCAAACGGTAAGACAATTAGAGTGATATCTACCAGATAATGCAGTTTGTTTACCATAGCGTGTCCAATCCCTGCGTGCTTCACCGGAGATATGGGGGGAAGTGGGAGGGGGGTGTTAAAGAAAACAACAAAGACAACAACAAAAGAACAGAACGAAAAGAAAAGAAAAAGAAAATGACCAACTGTGAAACTCAAGGAAGGAGGAAAAATATATATCCATATATATTTGGTTGTTTGTTCAAACCCTCCCACCTTAGGTTCAACGGAAGTATTTTGTTTAAAGAAAATTAAATTATAATGGGAGGGAGAAATAAAACAAAAAAAATTAAATCCCTTCTTCTCCCAGTCATTCCCCCACCCCTCCTCTGGATTCCTCTTCCCCACCAGCCCCTCCCGGAAGAGCCGTCTGCAGAGAAGGGGAACAGTTAGAGATCTTGGTTAGTAGAGAAAAAAACAACAAAAGAACTGGACCAAGAAAGCAAAGACTTAAAGATGGCCAACATTCCGCAGATGAGACAGAAAGGTTAGTTCGGTTTGTCACTCATACCTTGCCCCACCTGTCCCTGCCCATCCCTGGGTCCCCTGGGCTATAAGCGTGTTAGTAACACACACAGAGTCGGCAACGGGTTTTCCAACAGAGGGTGAGAGAGGGAAGGCAGGGGATTAAGAAGCAGACCCAATTATGCAGTATTAGTAAGTCCTATCAGCTGAAATGTTAGGGAGTCAAGGGGAAGGAAGGGAGGGGACAAGGGGTATGAGGAGGGATGGGCTATTGACTCAGGTAATGGACTGATGGGTTTGTTGGGTAACTGGTCAACCAGATGGCTTTCCAGAGAATGGACTAAAGAGCCAGCTGGTGCTGGCCAACTGGCTGACCAGTGGCCATGTCAGGTTAATGGATTAACTGGTTGGTGATGGCCAGCTGGCTGTCAGGCTGAGAGAAGAGTGGGCAACACCCTTAGAGAATCAAAGGACTAGCAAGAATGAGAGACAATTTCATTTGGAGGCAAAGGAAAGGGTTCCCAAGGACCATAGGAAGGGATATGGGTGTCTGCTTTTCCTAGGGATGGAGGATAGGCAAATAGACTGAGGGAGTCGTTGAGGATCGAGGGGAAGGACAGCTCCTCCCTCTTTTATTTTTTTTTTCCTGCTCCTCATCCTTCAGGAAGGAAGAGAGAGTGAGTCGCCACCAGAACAGGGAAAAGGAAACCTTGCCCTCCATGGGCTGGCAGAGGGCTCATGCTCACACTGTATCTAATCATCCCAAACCCTCCTAGCTCTCCACTTGCTCTCCCACCCATAGTTGACTCCTCCTGCCTGTCCACCTTGACTTCTTCAGAGCCCACATTTCCCAAAGAGTTCTCCAGGTTTTTCAGGCACCCCACTCCCATTCTCTGGGCAGCCATCCCTCCCAGCATCAAGTGCCCACCACCACCACCCCTGCAAGTCCCTGGAATTAATAAGGCTATCCCAGCAGCCCAGCCTCCTTCCATGTACACTCATACACCCCTGAGCCTCTGCTCCCCACAGCTAATGCCAGAAATTTACTCACCCTACACCCATAAAAAGGAACATAGAAGTCCCACCTACCTCTAAAATCACTTCCTCCTCCCTAAGCTACAAGCCAGCTCTTTCTAACCCAGTCTCTCAAGTGCCCACCCCCATGTGGTGCTAAGTTTGTTTTCTCTCCTCATTGCCAAAGACAGCAGCAACAACCACCTTCAAAATTACCCTAGTCTTTGGGGAGGAGATGTCAAAGGGACTGAGGCTACTTTACTTTAGAGTATTAGAAATGGAGGGACATGGTTGCTCGATGTACATTAAACACTAAACTGTACACCCGAGTGTATGATTCTGAAAAAGAGAGGTATTCTAGGGACAGATCCATTAGTTGTAGAGTTTTTATAACCAGTGGGCACAAGACTAATTTAGTAAGATAATTAATAAGGGCCTCATATAATTAAAAATAACAGAATTCAATATTTAGCAGCTAGAAGAAGTGCTGAATAACCAATATTAATTATTAGTGATGCAGAAGCAGTTTACATAGCTGGAGAAGAGTTTAATTGCAGGTGCAGTGATAGGAGAAGAGGGTTAGCATATGATGAGAGGATTAGCACTGCTGGCTAGTAGGACTGTCATGAAATGAAGAGACCAACTAGTCAGAACAAGGAACAATTAGCTTCAGGGCAGCTAAACCAATTGCACCCAAAAAGAGCTGTCTGGTATCACTGTACTAGTAGAACAAGGCAGGGGGGGAAGGCATTAGAGGTAAAAACCCAACTACTACTATTTTTGAATTAGAACTGGTTATGGAGAATAAAATAAGAAAGCTTTGCATTTTCATGGAGAAGTTTCCCTAAAAATGGAAACAACTTGGTTTTTTGTTAAAAAACAAGTAGAACAGCAAATTAAGAACCAGGACTGAAAGGGAAGAAATGTGAGTTCAAAGTCTGGACCTTCCACTGATTTGTCGAGAGATCCAGGCTTCCTCTGAAAAATAGGAGGGCTGGGGTGGATGAGATGGGGCCCCTCTAGACCTAGGGGTTGAGGCTCCAGAACCCAAGCCACGATGATCATACTTAAGGGGACAATTGGTGTCAAATACTAGAACGTTACTTCCACTGGAACCCGTTCCTGGTGGCCTGTGACATAGCACAGGTAACAGGTACATGGCAGCCCAGGCCTTCCCAGCAGGATATGGAGAGCTGAAGCATCAGACTAACAAATGAGCAATGAAGGCTTTGTCCCACGCACAGAAACAACTAGACAGCTCTGGAGCCTAGAAGCACAATAAGGACAATGCACGATCAGCACAGAGGATTTCAGTCACAGGGCGAGAAGTCAGTCATCACATCAATTGATAGCTTAGCATGGCCGAGGGCCTTTGGACGAAATGATATCCCATCTCCACCTTGAGCTCTGAGTGTAGCTCCAGTCCCCTCAAGAAAGCCATGAGGGGAGTTATATGCACAAATCATAGAAATCTGGGATAAAGGCAGTCTCTATGGAGCTTCAGCACACAATAAGGACAATGCACGATCAGCACAGAGGATTTCAGTCACAGGGCGAGAGGTCAGTCATCACATCAATTGATAGCTTAGCATGGCCAAGGGCCTTTGGACGAAATGATATCCCATCTCCACCTTGAGCTCTGAGTGTAGCTCCAGTCCCCTCAAGAAAGCCATGAAGGGAGTTATATGCACAAATCATAGAAATCTGGGATAAAGGCAGTCTCTATGGAGCTTCAGCAAGAGAAGCTCAGGACAAAGAAAAGAGGAAGCCAGTCCACTCAGAGATAAGAGGGACCCGTTTTTCAGGGATACAAGCAGAATGTTCAAATGGTTTCAAAATTTGGGAATATTCAAGAATAGCAGAACCATAAGACGAACTACAGCCTCTTTTGCATTTTGCACCAGTGACAACAATCAGGCCCTCACTTGGAAGCAGAGAAATTGAGTGACTTTGAAGTCAGACAGACTTCCAATTCCACCACTTCCTGACTGGATAACCTTGAGCAAGTTCTTCAACCTTCTGAGTCTTGGTTTCCTACTCAGTAAAATGGGAATTATAGGGCCGGCCCGGTGGCGCACTGGAGAGTGCGCCGCTTGGGAGCACGGCGACACTCCCGCCGAGGGTTCGGATCCCATATGGAGACCAGTTCCCGCTCACTGGCTGAGCGCAGTGCGGGTGCAACACCGAGGGTTGCGATCCCGTTACTGGTCAGTAAAAAAGACAAAAAGGAAAAAAAATGGGAATTATACCTGCCACCTCACAGAATTGTTATAAAAATTAGGTGAGATACAAAAGAGAAATGAGATCCATGAATTCAGGGGCTAGTGGAAGAGAGATGTCACAGTTCAATCTGAGAAATGCTGGGACAGAGGGACAGAGTCCTGACAAAACTCAGAGCAGCAAACAAGAGAGGCTTTCTTCTGGTGTTGTAAAGCAAATCTACATTTTTTCCAGGAGGACAGAGTTAGTTCAATGTTTGTATGAAGTAATTAGATCTGCTACTTTTGAACATGGGTCCTCACCAATTAGCTTCAAGAAAGAGACCAAATGAATCAGAAAAACTACTAGAAAAACAACAAAAATGCTCAAGAGTTGCTGGTATTAAGCACTCAATTTGTTTGCCACCTAGAAGTAGACCTAAGGAATGAATACAAATATCATCAACACAGGCAGATGTAAGAGAAGGATAGAGTGCGCGTTTCCCAGTGCTCGAAGAACATAGCATGAAGGGAGCACAGCTGGGGGATGGATCAAGGAAGGCTTTATGAAGAAGGTGGCATTTAAGCTGGGCCTGAAGGGTTGAAAAAAACACAATGAATGATAATGACAGCAGGGAGCCCTTCAGTGCTCACATCATGCTGCCACTGTGCTCAGTGCTTTAAGGCATTACCTCAGTTAGTCATCAAAAGGCTCGTTTTCACTTTGCCAATGAGGAGCTGAAATCCAGAGAAGTTTATAACAAACCTAAAGTCATTCAAACAACTAGTGGCAGAGCTGGGATTTAAGCCCAGTCTGTCTGACTCAAACCCCAGCTCTAGGAATTCACCTGGCAGAAAGGAAGGTAAATGGGTGGTGTCTGTGGGAACAAAGAAAAGAGCTAGGAAAGTCAGCATCAATGGAGAGAAGTTCAGTTAGGCCCTAAGACAGGGCGTGTGTCATGCCAGAGAGAGGAGGAAAGAGGGGAGAGGATCCCTAAATGCCTAATGGACTCCGTCCTTAGGGGAATACATCCTTGGGAGACTCCATTCTTGAAGGAATCCATCCATGGGGATTCCATCCTTGAGGGGCTCCATTCTTGAGGGAGTGGATCCATGGGGATTCCATCCTTGAGGGGCTCCATTCTTGAGGAACTCCACCCTTGAGGGACTCCATCCTTGAAGGACTCTACCCTTGAGAGACTCCATGCTTGGAGGACTCCATCCTTGGGGGACTCCATTCTTGAGGGAGTGGATCCATGGGGATTCCATCCTTGAGGGGCTCCATTCTTGAGGAACTCCACCCTTGAGCGCCCCCGTACCGGAAGGACTCTACCCTTGAGAGACTCCATGCTTGGAGGACTCCATCCTTGGGGGACTCCATCCATCTTTGGGGATTGCATCCTTGGGGAACTCTATCCTTGGGGATTCCATCCTTGGGAACTCCATCCTTGAGGGACTGTGTCCTAGGAGACTCCATCCTTGGGGGACTCTATGCTTGGAAGACCCCACCTTGGGAACTCCATCGTTAGGGCCCCAGGGGAGCTCCTGAAAGTACCTGCACTGAGGAGAGGCATCATCCAAGCTGGGCAGGAGAAAATAACATGTGATATTCTGGTAGCCAGCTTGTATTCCAAATTTGGTTCTGGCTAATGATAAAATGGGTTTTCACACCCTGCTTGTACGGTGATGGGAGGCATACTGAGCATGGGAGGAGAGTGGGCCTTGTACTAAAAATAGGCCTGAAGGGAATCCTCAGAGGTAATTTTTCCTGCCGAGATCCCCCAAGAGGCATCACCAGTCACAGTGGCCACAAGGGCTGAGTTCAAAAGAAGAGGAAGGAGAGCTCAAGGTGCTGTTTCATCAGGCCCTCTCTGGTCCTAATGGCTATGTGCTAAGAGCCTCTAGCTGACTCCGGGGATAATTACCTAGGCTGGGGAAAAATATTGGGGGTGGGGGAATTCTGCATCCTTCCAGTCTTTGGAGCTGGCTTTTGACCCTATCCCACAGCTATAGAAGCAAAGGGAAGGGAGATCCCTCAGTGCTGGTTCTGGGGCAGGCCCTCCCCAGGAAACCATCTCCCTGGCCATTCTAGTCACATGAGGAAAATAATAGGGAAGCCACAGTGTTCTCAGATCCTGGCCATCTACCCTGTAAGGCTGAAGGCAGATGTAATTTCCCACATTACTCCCTGTCCTAGCTCCTGGCCCATAAAACCTGTGGGAGGCAGGACATTGGTTCAAAGCACCCCAACCAGCATCACCCTTCAGATCACAGAAGGATTATTCCAATCCCAGGATGTCACCTAGACACTGTATAAACTTGCTTGAGCAGGGTTTCTCTACATTGGCACTATGGACATTTGGGGCTGGATAATTCTCTGTTGTGAAGGCTGTCCTGTGAACCATAGGATGTTTAGCATCATCCTGGCCTCTGGCCATGAGATGCCAGTAACAGCCCCTAAATTATGACAACCCAAAATGCCTCCAGACATTGCCAGATGTCTTCTGGGAAGCACAGTGTGATTGAGTGATTGAGAAACACTGCTCTAGGGACAACAGGACCCAATAAATTACCCTTTGAATCCCTGAAAAATAGGCACACAAAAGGCCTGGCAAGGATGGACTTGGCCATAGGCTGGGCCTTGAGAGAGGGTAGTGAATCCAGAGCATGGCCCTGGGGTAGACCTTCCCCCAATGGCCATGATGACCAAGAGACGGCTGCCTGTGTGCTGTTCCTACACCCCACATTTATGGGCATGGACTGGAGTCAAGTAAATCCTCCCAGAAGGCCTTTTTAAAGAGGGCTCTCAATCCAAGTCTTCAAGCAGACCTCTGGGTGGCCCTAAGAGCCTACTTCTGGGTCAAATGACCTGCCTCTGCTCTAAGACATCTGGTAGAACAATCCAGGGGAAGCATTTGGATCTGTGACTCTGCAAGCCTATGGAAGAAGTGACCATGGGCCACTATCTACAGTCAGTGCTGCTGAGACCATGTGTCACCTCCACCATGCGGCTTTCCCACCTCCCCTAGCCACAGATCTCTCCCTCCTCTTGAGTATCTCCCAAGTTCTAGAAAGTTTAAGGTTTCTGCTGCACACTTGACCCTTATATGGCCTTGTTCTGTTCACTTTTAACAGACTCACCCTGTCTCCTAGAGAGCTGAAGTCCTGGGAAGACAGGGACCAAGTCTTTTTTTCCCCCTGTGCCCAATATGGATGCACCATAAATTTCTTGGCCAAACGATGCGTGGAAAGGGACTCTGAGCTTGCAGCATCTTGCCAAAGGCAGCACCGGTGAAAGCACTGGTCCCAGGGACAGCAAGTAAGCAAGAAGCACCAAAGGCAACTCCCAGGCCCCAAATAAAATGTGTGGCGTGGCCCCTGAAAGTGTCACAAATATGCATGACACACTTAGGTGTGCTCAGATGTTGATGACAACACAGGACAGCCCTCTGGGTAAGGGGATGATAAGACATGAAGAGGGGCACTGAATTGAGGAGGAGTGACTCTGCCAAGCATATCACTCCCTGGAATGTGGGGGGCACTTAGAAAAGGGGCATCAGTAGGAGCCCCAGGTAGCGGCATGCTTGGGAAGGAGACATAGGATTAGCGAGAGCATTCTCGCAGCAAGGGAGGCGGCATTAAATGAGGAGGAATCCCCATTAGATCATCACTCAATGGTGTTAAATGAGAACAGGTAAGAAGAGTGGGAGGTCAGTCCAAATCCCAAGCCCACTGCTGAGCCTTTCAGTGGGAGGAAGGGGAGGAGAAAGAGGATGATGAAGATGACAAAGGGACAAGGGAAGGAGCACTGCCCCATGACTAGAACCAAGAGGCACAGAGAAGACAACTAGTGAAAGAATGGCCACAGGCAGCAGGATGGAGCTCCAAGGGCAGGGCTGCTGGGCTCTCCTGGTTGCACTTTGACCTCTAGAGATGGAGCTGGAAGAGCTTCCCTGCCAGTAGCTATGAGATTGTGTACCTAAGAGAAAGAAGGACCAGCAAATGTCCTGGCACCTGGGACCCAGCGGGTGAGTGAGCAGAGAGAGGTTAGAAGGTGGAGACAGGGGCCGGCCCGGTGGCGCACTGGAGAGTGCGCCGCTTGGGAGCGTGGCGGCGCTCCCGCTGAGGGTTCGGATCCCATGTGGAGACCGGTTCCCGCTCACTGGCTGAGCGCGGTGCGGGCGCAACACTGAGGGTTGCGATCCCGTTGCCGGTCCCCGGTACGGGCACGACACCGAGGGTTGCGATCCCGTTACCAGTCAGTAAAAAAAAAAAAAGACAAAAAGAAGATGGAGACAGGAGCTGCCGCAGGATACACACGGCTTCTTCTGCTTGTGAAGAAGTGTTAGGTTGGGACCCTGCTTGAGGTGGCAACTTCCCAGGTCTAGAAACAAGCTATGAGGGCTCTTATCAAGCAAAGTCTGTCCAGAGAGATGGGCTTACCTGCCAGACCACCCTGGGCCTGTGAGAGGTGAAGAGGACCACTCCGAAGAGGACTGGTCCAGTGGGGGAGTTTGGGAGCAGGAGCTAAAAGAACACTGCAGGGAAGAGTCCTGTCTGTCTGCAGGAGTTGACCCAGGAGGGCCTCCTCTGAGTACCTGCTTGGGCTAGCCTAGGAGCCAGAGGGAGGCAGAAAGCAAGTAGTGGGCTGACACAAGAGCCCGGCTCCTCTGAAGGGAAAGAAGGAAAGAGAAGGGCATGTCCTGCACCTCTGGTGCTGCCCTACCTCACCCACCTGCTGCACCTGCACCTCACTCTGACTCCATCCCTGTCTCTGCCCTAGAAAAGCCTCAGCTGAGGTCAGCCCCATCCTGTGCCATGTTCAACTCAGGCTTTCCTTTGTGCCTCACTGCCCTACTACAGCGACACCCGCACCTGCTGGAACCCACCCACCCCAGAGCCCACCCTCCCCACCCATTCAGGCTATAGCTCACTCCTCCTATCTCCTGAATCACCCCCATCAGATCCCCTGATTTCTCAGTCCCAACCCCTGAAACCCCAGCTGTTCTCACCAGTCTGAGCCAGCCTCCCCCTGACCTCAGGCTTCTGCCCACAGGCAGCTCTGGAGCCTTCTCCTAGCTCAGTTCCCTGGTCCCCAAAGCCTGCCATGCCCCTGCAGCCACAATCCAGGACCCTTATAACCCCCAGCCCTGCTCTTTTCCAGACCACACCTCACTGCTTGGCCCTGATCCCTCCACCCTCACACCCCAGGCTGCTCTCCCTCCCCCCACATTCTGCTCCAGATACAGCTGACCCCGGCCTTCTTCTTGCTCCCCCTACCTGGCGCAGGTTTCGGGTGACCCGGACGTCGTGCCAGGCATTGTCATTGAACTTGCCATTGACAGGTTCCACGAGGGCCTCGAAGGCACCCGAGCCTAGGTTGATGACCAGCCAGACGGCCCCAGACTTGAGGGACAGGTTGACGTAGTCAGCTGACTTGCCCGTGTGCAGCATCAGCCCGTTGCGCTGCAGGGTGCGGAAGGCCAGCGTGATCTCGTCAGTGCTGCTCTGGATTGGGTTGTGTGACAGGTCATAGCAGAAGAACTCATTGCCTTTGAAGGTCGCCACAAATTCCTCTTTGCCTGCACGCCGTGGTTGGGGGAAAGGGGAGAAGGCTGAGTAGGTAGCATACACCAGGGCCTCCCTCTTCCCTTCCTGCACACCACGTGCAGGTCCTGGGCACCAGGAATCCTGTGTCCCAACTCCAAGCTTTAGGCCCTTTCCCGTCCCCTGGCCTGTCAACCCTTCTCTATGGACCCTGACATCTTTGCTGTCAAAAGGCAACTTCCCCCATGTCCATTTCCAAACCAGAAAGCTGCTAAGTGGCTCTCACACTGACAGCTGACAATTAAGCTGCCACAGGGCCAGGCAGAGTGGCTGGTCCTCCCTGTCTCCTCCCCACCAACGCTCCCATTGGCCACTCCCCTTAACAAAGGGAAGTGGAATAGGAACAAGAGGCTCTACCTGACTTCTCCCTGGGAGATCCTCCCCCATGGCTGGGGCACCAAGGATCTCCTGAGTGCAGCTCACCTCCCGCTCCTGTCCCTCTCCAGTGACAGCCATCTCAGTGCCCAGGGACAATTTCAAGGCCTCACCATATGGGATGGGGACTAGGAGGCCTGTTGTGCAGCAGTGAACAGATGAGGAGAATGGGAAGCAGTGGGGTGGGGAAGGGCAGAAAGACACATGGGAAGGAAATGCAGGTGACAGGGGGATGCACCAGGTAGCAGGAGGCCCCTGGGCAGAGCTTACATGGGTGGCCCCCATGCCAGCTATCACCACTGGCCCCCCCATCAGCTTTCTAATCCAACCTGAGAAGGACAGGGCAGACAGGCCCTAGGCAAAGAGCCTCAGAGGGCCCAGAGTGCTGGGTGTGCAACCTAGGCATGCCAGGCAGGTGGCAGAGGTGACAGCGCAAGGAGACGCCTGGCTCTCATGCATGGGTGTGCGTGTATGTACGTGTATGTGCATGTGTGCTCGTGTATATGCATGTGTGCCGTGTGCACAAAGACACTCAGCACAGAGCCCCTACCACTAACACTTTTTAAGCAGAAGCAAAAACTACTGGGAGAGTCATAGTGATTGTCAGCATTCTGTAAGTGAAAAGTGAGAGGACAATGACTCAGTGCTACCAGGAAGTTGGGGTCTTGGCCCCACACCTGCACAAGCTGGCACAAGCAGAGGGAAGAGAACCGGACACAGAGTCGGAAGTGACTAGAGGACCTGGACTTTGACAGTGGCTCACTTCTCCTTGTGGTGACACAACGGCTGGACCCACCCACCTCACAGGGCAGACAAGGGGAAAACAAGACCATATCTGTGAGGGTCTTTACGTCAGACTGAGATGTGTGGTGATTCTGGGTAGACACTCCCAAGGCCCAGGAAAGAGCAGGCATAACACCAGGGCACACAGGGGACCACCAGGAGACACCTGCCTTTCCAGGGGGCAGGGCTCAGCAGCAGCAGACGGGGTCGGGGTCTGTGGTGGGGGACTCTGCTGATCCCCTCCCCTCCATACACAGCCTGCTTCTTTCCCTCCAGGCAGGCTGCCCATGGACTCTGTCCTCACTGCCTCCGAATGCCAAGCACCAGCTGCTGCCCTAGAGCCTGGCACAGCACTCACTGTAGCTGGCAAGGCCCAGCTTCCTGAGGCCACAGGGCAGCAAGACTGGTGGGGGCCTGGGCAACATCAGAACCATCTGAATCCCTCCCTCTGTCCACTTAGGGTGCCAGTGGGGAGGGCCAGAAAGCAAAGGTGAGGACTCCAGCAGACAAGAAGGGGGAGGTGGGGAAGAATGGTGCTGCAGAAGGAGGCGGGGTACAGAAGAAGAAAGATGGAGCATCGCAGGGAGAGAAGAGAGATGGAGCCAGCTCAGGGCTGTGAGGGAGCAAGAGGTGACGAGTAAAGCCACATGGACAAGGAAAAGGAGCAAGCCCTGAGGGGACAGGTAGGGAGATGGGAAGAGGGCCAGCAAGGAAAGGGGATGGGAACCTCTAGGGAATGAAAGCCAAGGCTTTCTGGGGCCTTACTGTTGCCATAGCAACCAGGCCTGCTGCCCAGGCTCTGGCAGAGCCAGGGGCTCAAGGACCAGAAAAGGGAATGTGTTTGACCTTGGATCTGCCACACGTACGAGTCCCTCCCAGAAGCCAGGCCTCCCCTCCCACTCCCTCACCCTCACTGCAGTCAAAGAAAATTTCATGAAAGAGAGTCAAATAGGAAGAAAGGAAAGAATAAGGCAACCACATGAGAAAGTGATTGGGACAGAACAAAGGAGGCCAGAAGAAAGGAGAGAGGCGGGTCTGGGACTGGACCGTGGCTGCCAAGGCAAAGTGGAGAAAGGAGACCATTCCTTGACTCTTCGGGGAGAAGGCACAGCCAGCCACTCTGGAGCCTGAGCCTACATAGGCTCTAATCCCTTTACCACCAGAGACCTGGGTAGGCCCAGAGATGGGAAGAGGTGCAGAGCAGCCAAAGGGAACCTAAGAGACTATGAAGAGAGAGAGAAGAGGTGAGCAAGAGTGGAGAAAAAAACTCGAGAAAGGTGAGAAGGAGAGAGAGAGGATCTGAGTGGGGGAAGAAGGGCAGGATTTCTAGGGGCTCTACTGGGATTAGGATGTGGGGTGGCTCAGGGCACTCAGCAAGAACCAGGTCTGGGATGAACAGCCCTGAAGCACCAGGGGGCGCTCTCTCCAGCCTCGCTCTACTGGCCAAACCCGGAACTACAACTCCCAGCAGCCTTGAACAACAAGCACAGTTCCCTGTAGCCTCTGGCACAAGAAGGCCAGTAAGAGCCGAAACTTGTTTACCTCCCACAGTTGGAGTTCTGTAGCCCTACAAGTGTCCCCAGTGAAGCTGAACGTGGCTAGAGACTAGCTGTTGTGGTCCTGGGTTTCTAAGTACCATGAGGGACACAGCAGCTGCCTCCTTCCCAGGCCCGGCTCAAAGGCCTCCTCTGGGAAGGTCTCCAGCCCCCCTGCAGCCCCTCCCCACTCTCCAGCACTACAGCTGTCTGTTCTGCTCATTTGGCACTTACTGCCTAGTAACATCTTGTACTGCTCCCTGGAGAGGAAGTGTGATGTGAGAAAGAAGACCTGGGCACTAGTGCTGGTTCCACCACCAGCTTTGTGACCTTGGCCAAGGCACAACAGCTCTAAGGCCCAGCTTTCTCCTCTGGTAAAAGGAGCTAGTCATCAGCCTACCTCACGGGTCGCTGTGGGCTTCTTAGAAAGAGGACAGCTGGGGTGCAGCTTCCTAAACTGTAAACTATCGCACAAATAAAGGACTCTTGTACTGGCATGTAACTTTCTCTGGTGTGCTGCCCCCACCCCATAAATGAATTCATTAACTCCTCTGAACAAAGTGTGCACTTTTAATATACTTTGCATGGACCACACTTTATTGTTATTTGTTAGAAAATCAACGCACTCCTAAGGAACAGACACCATTCATCCATTTAAAGTAAATTTTCTGAGCACACACCTACGTATGTGCCAACAGCTATGTAGAGCACCAGAGTAGACACATGAAAATACCCAATCCCAGTGCTCAGGGAGCTCGGGTTAGTGGGGGATGCAAACAGGTGAAGTGACAGTTAGGATACAGTGTGATGAGCCTTCTAATGGAGGTGTCGACAAAGGGAAACTGGGACGTATCCAAGTCAGCCTGGGTCGTTCACGGAGACTTCCAGGGTAGATGGCCTGGCTGCTTTTTCAAGAGTCAGCTAAAAGAGATTCCAAGTAGTTGTGGGACGGGGGCAGGGTTGGTGGAAATCCAGGCAGACAGAAAAGCATGGACTAAAGAGTGGAAATGGGACACAAGAGCCCCAGTGCTTGGCACCCACTGGAGCTCCTCTTTGTTAAACTGGCCTGTAATCTTGGGAAGAGATTCTCCTAAGCAAGGCGGGCTCAGTGCAGAAAGGGGAGCTAGAGCCCTAACACAGGCTTAAAGGGCCCCATACTGGCCACAGGGGCTTTGGTCAGTGTCAGTTTCCCCATCTGTGAAACGAGGGCAATGGTCCCCACCACAAAGGGTCGTGAAGGCTCATTTAGGTGACATGTAGGATACACATGGATGACAGATGCCACATCTCCCAGCCAGAATCCCGTTGCTGGGTACCTAGCAGTCTTCCAGAATTTGATGGTTAAATGGGGGGTTGCCCTGCTGCCCAGTCACTCTGCCATAGAAACAGAAACCTTCTAGGGATGGATCTGAACAACTGCCATGGAAAAAGACCTTTATGTTCTAGAAAGAGGTGTCAGGACAACCGGGCTCTGGGAAAGAAACAGAGGTTTGTGGCCCTTCACACCAGGGCAGGAAATGGGGCTCTGGGAATGGCACTGGGGATGCAGGTCCACCAGTTCCTGTAAGCCTCAGAGAGGGCACAGGGGATGCCCCTCTGTTGACTTGGCTTCCCCCTAGGAAGCGCAGTTAGCCTGCAGTGGAGTAAGGGCTGGGCTCTCTGGGGACCGTGGGGTCACTGACCTTTTGTCGGCTGGTGCACATCGCCGGCTCCTCCTCTCCCGGCCCCCCCCTCGGAGAACAGTAAGGACCCTACTGGAGAAGCAGAATTGGGGAGTCAGGCACAGGGGGCTATCAGCCAGTCCCACCCCAGCCGTGAGGTGTTGGAGGGCCCTCTCCAGGGCGGAGGTGCTAATTGGAGAAAGAGGTGAGGAGGGGCTTCTCTCAGGACTCATTTGTCTTCAGGGCCCCTAGGGTAGAAGCTGGTTGACAATCCAAGGACCATCAGCCCCACAGACCCCATCAGACTCACGAACACTGATTCCCGCCCTTTACCAAGGGTAGGGAGACTGGGTGGAGGAGCAAAGGCCTTATGCCGGTGCAGGAGCCCCTTTGCCCTACGGCAGGTGACCAGGCCAGCCCTGAGAACTGGAGGCCCTTGAGCCCCACTTCCAATCTCTCGTTCATCTTCCTGGCCCCTCCTCCATGAGGCTCACTCTCCACCCCATTCTGCTGGGTCAGAGTTCATGTTCAAAAGCCTGGCACAGGCTCTCCTTCCCCAAACCCCTCTTCTGTTCTTTGCCTATCCTCTCACTCGTCATCTGCACCTCCTTTACCCACTACAGTGGCTGCTCTTCATGTCGCCTTTGCCCTCTCCTTTGCCAGGGGCTTCCTTTGTCCCTCCACTGTGTCCACAGAGGCCTGTGCACACCAAGGGAGGTCTGGACTGGCTGTAGCTCATCACAGATGTGGGGAAGCCCCTCCTCAGGAGCCTATTTCTCACTCCCCACCTCTCTGTTCATCAACACACATGCCTCCACCCAAAGGTCCCTGCAGGCACATGTCACATTCTAGGTTCCAGGCCAGCTTGAACTCTCCACCCACCCCTGCCAGTGAATGTGTGCACTCAGCCGCTGGCTCCCAGGACCTGTCCCTATTGTCAGATCCACCAGCTGGCTTCAGGATGAGGGGAACTCGGGGATGGAGGGGAAAAGTCCCTATCTGGGCTCTTACTCCAACCCTAATCCCAAATCCCTAGAACTAAAACTAGAATAACACTTGAGCTGTGGAACTTTCCGGGGGGAGGGCTTTCTGGGGTCCTTCAATTGGGCCTTCCTCTATGACAAGGTAAGTCACAGCCAGCACCAGAACTGGACATTGCCAAGCTGGAAGGAGATGAGTGAACCAACCAGGACTTCTACTGCTGACTCCCCACTCAGGACTTCCTCTTTCCCCACAAGTCTTACCACAACTTCACATCCCTGCAAGAATCCCAGGTCCCTACCTCCTCAGACCTCAATCCATCCTGAATTTCAGATCTGTGTGAGTCTCCCCTCGCAGCCCAGTCTTGGTCCTGTAGGCCTCCCCTGCCTACAGGCTAAGGATCCCACTCTGTCCCTATGTAAGATGAGGGCTGACCTGGACAGGGGCAGCAGTGCCTAGGGGTCCGGAGGGCCAAATCTCTGAGTTCAGAGATTCAACGATAGTGCAAGCCTGGGGGGGGGGGGGTCCTGTAGGCCTCCCCTGCCTACAGGCTAAGGATCCCACTCTGTCCCTATGTAAGATGAGGGCTGACCTGGACAGGGGCAGCAGTGCCTAGGGGTCCGGAGGGCCAAATCTCTGAGTTCAGAGATTCAACGATAGTGCAAGCCGGGGGGGGGGGGGCAGAGTTGGAGGGGATCAGGCAGGACTCCTGGGTTCTGTCTCCAGTTTTGCTTAATATCAGGGCTTTTAAAGATGGTAGATACTTGGTCAAATGGAAGCTAAAATTAAAGGACTAGTCCCAACTGGACCACTAATCAAGGCTGTGTAACCGCTAGCAAGTCACTTCATCTCTCTGGCCCTCAACGTCCTCATCTGCCAAACAGGGGTAAGAGATGCTCAAAAGAAGGGAGGATGAAGGCGTATGAGGGGCACTGTGGAAAGGGAGGGATCCTACACCTCCGTTCCCCTACTTGCCCCCCTTCACTCCCACTGTGGCTCAAGGGGACATCCCACAGCAGCAGGGTTAGCGGACATGAGGCCTAAAATCCTCTTTCTCTTGGGTTTATAGAAAAGAAAGAATGAGTGAGTGGAAGGAAATAAACACCACCATGGGAAAGAAAAAAAGCAAGATACACTAGCAGGAAAACGCAAAAAGGTGATTGGAGACAACGGCAGGAGTTCAAACATCTCTTGATGTCAGAAACCAAGGTGAGATGAGGGCGATGGAGTGGATCAGGGTGAGTGAGGGAGAAGGGAGCGCACAGACCAGGATGACCCCCCACCCCCACCCAGGCACCCCCCAAATAAAATCCAGAAATGGCAGAGGAAAGGGAGAGGAAAGGAAGGAAGGAGGCAGGATAGGTGGAGGAGAGGTGGGGAAAGGGCAGGGACGGTGAGGGAGAAGGGAGCGCACAGACCAGGATGACCCCCCACCCCCACCCAGGCACCCCCCAAATAAAATCCAGAAATGGCAGAGGAAGGGGAGAGGAAAGGAAGGAAGGAGGCAGGATAGGTGGAGGAGAGGTGGGGAAAGGGCAGGGACAGGGAGAAGAACAGAAAATCCAGGTGAGGGTGGGGGCAATCCAGTCCAATCCAAACCAAACCAAAACTTCAAACCATACCTTCGCTGTTTAACGTCAGGTGAGCCGGACCTTGGAAAGGTGAAGGAGAGAAAGAAAAAAAGAAGAAAAAAAGAAAGGAAAGGGGAAAGAAACAAAGAAAACACGAGTCATCAAACTCAGCCAGAGAGAAGGGAGAAAAAAGCTTTTGCTGCCACAATTTAAAAACACTTTTTAACTTGTGACAGACATCGGGGGAGAGCCCCCAGCCCAGGAGCTGAGGAAAGGGGCCCGATGCCGAAACAGAGGGTGGAGGGCACGAAAGGGGAAGAGAGAAAGAGAGATAAGGGGGCATCAGAGGGGGCGAGGGGGCACAGGCAGAACCACAGGAAGGAGGGGGGCAGGGAGTCGCTGCAGGGGGGAGAGGAGATTTTGGTTTCTTTTTATTCTTCTTGCCGGAAAAAAAAAAGGAAAAGGAGGAGAAGCATGAGGCTGGAAGGGTTGCTTTTTCCTTTTTCTTTTTTTCTTTTTTTTTTTCTTCCGGGAGGCGGAGAGAAAAAAAAACGGTCAACGAGAAAAACGATTCAGATGGAGGAGAAAATAAAACACGACACAAAAATCAAAGCCACCTGGAGAGAGAGAGAGTGTCCTGTTAGCGTGGGACTGAGCGGGCAAGTGGGCCTCCAACCCCCCCACAACCCCAATCCCGGTTACCCCTAAGACACTGGCAGAGAAGCGGGGAAGGATGGGGGGTATGAGGAGCCTGGGCCTGAAAGGAATTCCCCACCAAAGCAGAGTTTGGAAAGACACCTGTCCAGTCCTAATCCTCCCAGCTACCCCCTCCCAACATCTTCCATAGGTTAGTAGGGATCCTGCACCCTTGGGTTCTAAGAGGAAATTGGGGCTCAGGAGGACAAAGCTGGAGAGGAAGTGGGTAGGAGAAGGTAGACTTCAGGGACACACTGGAGCACAGAGAGGGGGCTTGGATTCTTCCACTAGGAGGACTGGGAGACTAGGGTCAGAGCTCTCGGACAGCAAGGTCCAAAGAGGACAGCCAAGACCCACGGGCAGGAGGCCCTGCTCTCTAAGAGGTCAAAACACCTCATTCACACATCACACTACGGACCCCCTTTCTCTGGCCAGGACCTCTCTGAGATGACCCAAAAGCTGAATTTTGGAAATGGAAAACAGACTAAGAACAAGATAAGCTGGGATTTCCATTCAGGATTACTTTGGCACCTTAAGAAAGCCTTCTCAGCCCTAACCCGAGGTACCCCTCCTCAGCCATAGTGGGAGAGTATCTGGCCCATTGGCCTGGTACCCCAGTCCCCAAAGGGCAACAGCCAAGGAAAGCTCTCTCGAAGAGAGGCTGGCAGCACTAGGCCCCATAGCTGGGCAGAGACCCCAGGGATCCCTGAGATGACCAGTCAGCCCCAAACTCGCCCTCCCCCCATGGTGTCTGGCCAAACGGGTGGGAAGGGAACATCCCTGCAGTGCCATTGTTGCCCTTGGAAACATCCCAGTTGCTGTGGCAATGAGATGTCAACCCTAGGGATAGAAAGCTGGAGCCAGAACGGAAACATCAAGGTTAGCTACAAGTGTCTCCGGGATGAAGATGAGGGCCAGGATGCCTGGGTTCCAGGAGGAAAGGCAGCAGGGAGGCCAGGAAGGGCATGGCCAGGGGCCAAAAGCCCAGACCTTGAGGAAGTATGGCCAGATGGTTCACATTGCCCTCTTCTCCCCATCTCCCTGGGGTAGTGTTGGTTTCTTCCCACCTCAGCATCTGAGGCCCATTGGGGAAGAGGCCACGGTTGCTGGGGGCAGCCTCAGGACACAACAGCTCTTGGGAGGACACAGGTTTTTATCCACGACACAGGTAGGGACCCAAGCATTTGGACAGTCTTCTTATCCCTTGCTCTGAATGGCCCCCTATCCTGCCACCAAGTCTTTCCCCAAGAACTACCAGCATCTTCTTACAAAGCCCCTAAATCAAGGACCCAGGCCCAGAGCCTCAAACCCTCATCAGCTCTTCCTGTTGGGAGCAGCATTGACCTGGGGCTCCTACCCTCAGAAATCCAGGCCTCTGCCAGCCCCCTGCCCAGGAGTCAGGTGCCCCATGAACCCACCCTGTGTCCCCCGCAGGCCTGATTACTGCCTGGGGGAGAGCAGCATCTCTCTCCTCAGACCCTTCACTGCCCAGCTCCTCGCCAGCCTCATTAGCATGCGGCAGTCTCCCTCTGTCACCACGGCAACCAGCTGCTCAGCTCCCTCAGGCGTGACAGCACCAGCCATCTTGGTGAAGGGGAGGCCGGTTCCCTTCCTGTCTACCCTTGGCTCAGCCCCAGCTGGCCCAAGAGTTCCCTCCCTAAACCCTGTCTGCCCGCATCTGCAGTTTCTGCTCCCTTGTCCTGGCCCCCCACCCCACTGGGGTATTCTCCTCCCCACGTCCACCTGTGGCATCAGCCCCTCCTCCCACTGCTGGAGAAGAGGCTGGCAGTGATGGATGGCATTGCCAAGGGTCCTTTCCTAGGGCACTTTATCTGGCTGCTTCTGGGTCTCCTCTCCCTTCTAGAAGGAAAAAAGAGGTGCTTGGCAGGGACTGCGGAGCACGATGTCAGGGTTCCTGGAGAATGCTAGGCCTCAGGCACAGCGTCCAGGGATGGGAAGAGTGAAAGCACAGTGGGCTCCTTCGAGACCTGAAGGGGACTACCGGGTCCAGAGCACAGTGCCCCAGAGGAGGCCCCAGCCCACACCCGTGAAACCACCACCAGCCAAACCCACCTTCCCACTTTCAGTCTCTTTCCCTGACTGTCCTACCAAAACCCCAAAGAGGACCACCATCAAAAGAAGAAAGACAATTACAGGGGACAAGATTAGGAGACACACAAGCAGGCACACAGACACAGCACAGAGAGACACACAGATGGATCACACCCCTAGGTGTGCACACACACACACAGCCTCAGATACACACCCCTGCACAGCCACATGCAGGTACATGCAGTGGGTGCCACATCTAAACCAGCAGACCACTGTGCCCCCCAAAGAATGGCTGGGTGGCATCCACAGGCCTTGTTCCCCATTGGTCCCCAAAGCCCAGTTTCCTTCCTTGTCCCTGTCTATTATTCCCTTTTCTCTCCCCTCCTTTCTCCAGACCACTTCTCCCCACACCGGCTCTCTCCTGGCTGGCGGGTTCCCCTCCCTGTTCATCTCCTTCTGCCCCCCCCTCCTCCTCTTCACTTGCCCCTGCTCCTTACTCCTGCCTCTCTGCCCCTCCTCCGTCCCCCAAGCCTCTCTCTTCCACCCTTTCTTCCTTCTCTCTCTTCCTCTCTCCATCTCTCCCTTTGTTCCGGAGGAGACATGACATCAAGAGCAACTAAAAGTCACATCAGCACTAAATCTTATCTCCAGCCCTCAGCAGGCTGCGTCCACCCAGACACGTAGACGCTCTCTCTCCACACACAGACACAGAGGTAAACACTGACACACAGAGATGCAAACACAGATGCAGACACACAAAGACGCTGTTGCTCCGACAGAGGCTCACTTCAATGTGGGCCATACCACAGAGACACACGATGCAGGCGCACGGCACACCCCACACTCACACAAACTGTATTACGCGTACACGAGCATACACATATCCAGATGTGCAGAGGCACAAAGAGACACAACAGGCCAGCAGAGCTGTATGAATGCACACGTGCTCACACACACGCATACACACACACACACATACATACTCATGTGCCTGCCTGCTGGGACCAAGGCACTTTGGGACCCTCCCCAAAGAAGAGATGCCCAGAAAGAGAGACAAGCCAAACCATGGACACACAAGGAGAAATGGGTTCCAGCCCCACACTCAGGCCAAGAGCCCCTGGCTGCCTCTCTTTCCCAGGACTCCTGCAGCCTTGGCGCTCTCCTCTGCTCCTCCCTGGCGGGCCCAAGCCCAGGGATCTCCCAGCCTAGACTGCCTGCATCCCTTCCAATCTTGCCTTCCCAGGAGAAGAGAGCACAGGGCAGGTTTGGCGACGGGGATGCCACCTCTCCCTGGTGGGGACACACCCCACCCTGCTGCCTTCTCCACGATGGCCATGTGAGCGAGCTCATCGTCAGCCCAGCCTGCAAGCCTGGACCACCCAACCCAGTCTTCCCTCTCCCTGATTTTATTCCACCCTGGAGAAAGAAAAGAAACAGAGGGAAAACCAAAGCTGGAGGGAAAGATCCAGAGAGTGACAGAAACCCAGAGAGAGCCTGGGGAAGGACAGACACAGAAAGAGGATCAGTGACAGAGCCATGGAGAAAAAGAGATAAAGACAAAAACTAGAGAGAGAAAAGGCAAAAGGAACAGAAGATTGAGAGAGATTGGACAGAGAGACCCCAAAGAGAGACATGTTCCCCACCCTTGCCCTCGGACTGGGCTGAAGGAAGAGGTAGACCACCCCTATCTACCAGCCCTTGGAGCAGGGGTTAGGGGCATTCCACAAGTGTTGGCCAAAGTGGAGCATAGGGGCTGCTCCCACCCCACATCAGGGACCCAGACCCTGACTCTTCCTGCACTCCAACCACACTGCAGTCCGCCTGAGCCCTGCAGCAGAGTCTAGGTCCCAGAGCAGGTCCACCTCAAGCATAGGCTTCTGGGGCAGCAGCCTGCCCCTGACAGCATGGCCTTTCTAAGCTTCCTAAGCAGGCTGGGACAAAATGGTGTCTACCCACTCCCTTTTAGTAATTCGGAATCCTGGCAGCCCTATACATCCACCCCCACTCCCCATCTCTTCCCTGAGATCCCCTTTCCCTTTCCTGCAAGGGAGAAGAAAGGCCAATGGGCAGAGTGGAGCAAAATGGGCAGATGGAAGGCCCTGCCCTTCACCTGGCAGTTCTCCCCACCAAACCAGTAAAGAGGGAACAGGTGAGAGCAGGGCCAAGGCAGCCAAGAGAGGACCCCAGATGTCCTTCCCCAGAGGGGTCCCAAACAGGCAGAGGAGGGAGATCTTGGGCAGCTAACAACACACCCTCACATAGCACCCCATGGCAATAGATCCGCCACCCCAGTGACCAAGAGGCTTCACTCACCTTCCATGGGGTGCTCCTCTACAGCCAGCGAGGTTCAGAGAAAAGGAGAGGCAGAAAGAAAAGAAAAGGAGGGCTGTTAGCAGGGGTACCATGGATAGGGGTTCCAAGAGGAGTGAGGGATCCAAGGTCCCTGAGCCCACCCAGGCCCAAACACGAGTCAGCTAACCTGGAAGGCCCAAATCTCAGGGAACAGCTTTGCTGAGGATGAGACAGAGACAAAGTTGCTCACTGAGTCAGGTGCCCCACACCCAAAGTCAGCCAGTGTGAGGGCTGAGAGGACCCTTAACACATATCGTACCCTCATGTTACATTTCAGGAAACTGAGGCCCAGGGCAGGGAAGAGACCACTCAAGGTCACATGGAGAATCGGAGGCAGGGCCAGGAGTGGCAGTCAGGCTTCCTGACTCCCCTAGGCAGGCTCCTCCCCTGCATTCCATTTCATCTCTGAGACAGATGGGGATATGCTTACACCAGCAACTGTCTTGCAGGGCTCACCCGAGACACAATCCCTCTCAGTGACACACTGACACACATAGGTACTTAGGAATCAGTGATCACACAACTCATTCCTGAAGCCTTTGAACCCAACCACCCTGCAGCCCCAACCCACCCAGGGGAGAAAAGGCATCAGCACAGGGAGTCAGAAAACAGTTCTGCCACCAAGTGCTGTGTGACATCCATCCCAGTCAGTTAACCTTTCTGAGCCCCAAGTCCTTCTTCTGCAAAAATGAGAAGGGTGGATTAGACAGTTTTGAGGCCCTCCTGGTTCTGGCTCTGTGATTTGAGGATAAAGGCCTTCTTACCAGCTGGGTGAGGCAAAGGGCCCCTTGGCTGGATGGACACCTCCATGGGTGGCAGGGGGTCAGAATTCAATGGGCCACACTGGGCCCATCCCTAGATCACGCCACACCCTTTTGGATCACCTAGTAGGTGCCTGCCTGGGCCTGGCCCTGGGTTTCACCAAATAGGAAAAAGAGGAGATGGAAGGAAGGGAGGGTGGAGGCATTTCCTCCAACTAAGCTACAACCCCTCAAGCAGGCTGGGCTCTGGTCTTCTTTGTAAAAGAACCCAGGCACCCCCAGTTCCAAACACTTGTGACATGCCCACCTACTGGGAGCCTTTAGATGAAGCAACAGGTGGGAAGAGAGAAACAGCACAACCTACAAATACACAAACCCAATGGGAAAATATACACACACATGTTGGCCCCAGGATACACACATATACACACAAACTGCTGTTCGGTACACACGCACACACACATGCACACAGCTACACTGTCTCCTCCTACCTCCAACTTCATTTTGGGCCCCAGGATACACACATATACACACAAACTGCTGTTCAGTACACACGCACACACACATGCACACAGCTACACTGTCTCCTCCTACCTCCAACTTCATTTTGTGTTATTTGTTCATTTGCTCTTGGGGGGGAGGGGTAGCTATAATCCAAAACAAACACTGTAATTTATCACACTTTATACCGCCCCCATAAGAAACACACACATACATACACACACACACACACACAGGCTGAATGCAAACACGAATACCTGCAGAGTGATCTAATACATAATACTAGATGCACACACTCACTGTCACCACCCACACTCCCTCCGGTGGCTAAAGACACACGCCCTACAGTGAACACATCTCCCTTCTACGTATGTATGTATCTATCTCCCATTTCCTAAACCTATACACACAAGCCTTTACATGTCTACATGTGTTGCACACTTCTATACAACACTGAACTTCTTTTACCTGATATCGCATCCCCAAAAGCAGCATATTCAATGATTTTCTTAAATAAATGGAACCACATTACATTTACAGGGAGAGCTGGCTAGTGAAAGGGGCCCTTGGGAAAACCCTTTGGCTCTTGTGAGGACTGCTGTGTTGGATTTCTTTGGCACCAGCATGCTAAGGCTCTGGTCAGCAGCACAGTCATCTCACCAGCACCTGTGCAAACAAGTCGGCACAGTGACTTCCAGATAATCCAACATGGCAGATATTTCAAGAAGTATTTCCACTGCCAGAAACGTGCGTCATGCTATGCTCAGGAAGGTGAAACGACCAAGCTTGGTTTGCTCCTGGCTTCTGAGAGGCAGCACCTAGGGACTAACAGGCCTCTCCTCCTCTGCTGAGCTTTGCTTTCTGCTGATTCACCTCTGCCCTCACTTGCCATCACAGGCCTCTCCAGACTTGGTCCCCTTCCCTCCACACTCCTCTTGCTTCTCTCCGGTCTCACTTTCGTGGCTAAGGGCCAAACTGGTATTTGCAGCCCCAGCCTTTTCCCTGAGTACATCCCCACCTGTCTGCCTCACGATTGCTCAGACAGCTCTCTGACATCCAAACACCATCACTGAGGTCATGATCATCACCTCCACCCCCCAACCAAGTGTGTCTCCCTGTGTTCAGCAAAAGGCCTACTTTCAACCAACATTTCTTTCTTTTTTTTTTTGTCTTTTTCCGTGTCCGGCAACGGATCGCAACCCTCAGTGTCGCCCCCGTACCGGCAACGGGATCGCAGCCCTCGGCGTTGCTCCTGTGCCTCGCTCAGCCAGTGAGCGGGAACCGGTCTGTATGTGGGATCCGAACCCTCGGCGGGAGCGCCGCCGCACTTCCCAAGCGGTGCACTATAGCAGTGCGCTACCGGGCCGGCCCTCAACCAACATTTCTTAAGCTCCTGCTACATGCTCCACACTGCCAGCTCCAGAGATTCCATTTAACCACATGCCAGGCACCTTGTTGACCCTCAACATGTGACATCACATGTCAGCCTCATTGCAACCCTAAGGAGCTTGATGGAGTTGATGGACCTATCTTCTCTGTACAGAAAAGGAAGCAAACCAGGAGCACAAAATCATCTTGGCCCTTGTCCACTGCAATCCAGGGTCATCACAGCCTACAGCCTCACCCCTCACTCCTGCTCTCCTGCAATAGCCTCCTCCTGGTTGGTCTCTTAGCCCACCCTCAGCCCGGCACTCTGGGCACAGGTACTGGGTTCACCTTACTGAATACTGCTGTGATCAACACACACACTCAGCACTTTTCAGTGGCTCTGGTACAATCCTCTCTCCTGTGCTCTGAACCTGTGTGCCCACCCACCTTCAGAGCGGCTCTCCCCAAGCATCTTATGGGCTTCTCACCCTCAACATGTCCAAGGTGGGCCTCAGAACCCTTCCCACCCCAAACCCTCTCCTCCTACCTGCATTCCCTGATCAGGTTGGGCACCGAGAGAGCAGCCTTGCTGTCTTTTCTGACTAATCACAAGGTAGGTCCTATTGGTTCCACCTTCTAAAACACAAAAGTAAACTCCTAGAAGCCCTTTTCCTCCCTCCATCCCCACCAGCACTGCCCCCAGGCCAAGCCTCATCAGTTCCTGTCCTGGGAACATTAATCAGCCTCTAAGATGACCCTCCCGGGCCGGCCCGGTGGTACACTGCTATAGTGCGCCACTTGGGAAGCGCGGTGGCGCTCCCGCCGAGGGTTCGGATCCCACATACAGACTGGCCGCTCACTGGCTGAGCGAGGGGCGGGAGCAACACCGAGGGTTGCGATCCCGTGGCTGGTCCCGGTCCGGTACGGGCGTGACACTGAGGGTTGCGATCCGTTGCCGGACACGAAAAAAGACAAAAAGGAAAAAAAAAAGATGACCCTCCCTACATCCAGTCTATTCACCTGCAATTCATACTCCACAACTGCCAAAGTGGTCCAACCATATCATGATCCTGCTGAAAAACTCCAAGGTTTCTGAGTACCTACAGAATAAAATTCAATCTTCTCAGGGAAGTCCACTTGAAATTGATCATGCCTCCCTACAACCTCCTTTCCCACAACAATCCAAGCTCCAGACATACCCAACTTCTTCCAATTTCCCTAATATGCCATGTTTCTGCACACACGACTCCCTGAGCTTGAAACACTCTTCTCCATCCACAGCTGCCTGAAACTGTTGACTCTTTAAGACCCAGGTCAAGGGCCGGCCCGTGGCTCACTTGGGAGAGCATGGTGCTGACAACACCAAGTCAAGGGTTAAGATCCCCTTACCGGTCATCTTTTAAAAAAAATAAACAAATAAAATAATAATAATAATAATAATAATAAAAAGACCCAGGTCATACACTTCCATCTGTGTTCTGGACATAGGAGAGTTCATCATCCTCTTTTGTGCCAGCTCTAGATATGTACATTCTACTGCTATTTCACTTACCAAATCTATAAGTATTACAATTGTGTTTTCATGTTGGCTTTCTGACTGGCCTGTGAAATATGCAAGAGCAAGGACAATGTCTAATTCATCTCTCTATATCCAGCTGCTTGCACAGTTCTTGACTCAGAAAAAGGCATTCCTGTGTTTGTTGAGTGAATAATAAAATAACACTTCTCATATACTGAGCACTTAAAGTGTGCCTGGCTCTCTACACACACTGTTTCATTCATCTACCACCATTACCTTGTCAATGATATTATAATTACTGTCTTTCCGAAATGAGGAAACCAAGACTCAGAGAGTGGAAGTAATTAGTCCAAGGTCACACTGCTGGTTAGGGAGAGTCAGAATTTGAACCCAAATCTATCCGGCTTTAAAACTTCCAGTAGACTACATTCTTGGCCTAGAAGTCAAGACTTCTAGTGATCACTAATTTACAGTTCTGATTTTATCTCCCACAAAGCACAACCAATTGGCTTCCTCACCACACCCTGACGTACTCAACTCACATCCCCTAAGGTCCTCATTTAGACTATCCACCTGGAGGGAAAGCCCTGCCCTTTCCCTTCCACGACTCTAACTCTCACTCAGTCACCCTTCAAGATCTAGCCAAGTCTCTTGCTATAATTTGAATGTGCCCTAAAACTCATGCTGAAGCTTGATACCCATTGTAATAGTGTTAAGAGGGTGGGAAATCCAACTATAGTATTTGAAAGGTAGGGCCTTTGAAAGGTGATTGGTTCTGCCCTCATGAATGGATTAATCCATTCATGGATTAATGGGTTATTATAGG